GGAGGTTTGAAGGCACCGGGAAGCTTATTAGATCCGTTCTGCAGAGTTAATTTGATGTTGGTAATCAGCGAGCAAGTTAAGCAGTTAAGGAGATGGTGGCTGCTGAAGGGTTGGGCTGTTTAGCCGCCTTGTAAGCAGTGGTTACTAATGAGAGGCTCATGAATATGCATGAGGGATGATTACAGCGTGGAAAGGGCAGTCGGCAAACCATAAACCTAATTTTAATCTTTTTATTAACAAAGTCACGTTATTAATAATAGACTTTACCTCGAGACCCAGCTGCATCTGGCAATTCCTGCACTCAGCAATGCCCAGCCCCAGGGAGGGGACAAGGATGGGACCCGCCATGATGTGATGAGCCTCCACGATTGGGGACCTCTTCCATCAGCACAGGAACCTCTTCCATCCCCACCAGGGACCCTCACCCACCCTCCTTCCCGGGCTGGTGCTTGGACAGGGGCACAAGGAGCCAGACTCTGAGACCTCCTTGTCCCTCTCCTTGCCCCAAGCCCTGTCCCACCAGCCACAAATCACTGCCACCATGGCAGTGCCACATCACAGCTGGGCACCGTCCCCCAGTCCTGGAAAAGGACAGTCCTAATTGTCTCCATGTCTAATTAATTGTAATTATTTTCTTACGGCACCGCTGTAACGAGGCAGCGGCTCCTGTGCGAAATGCTGAAGCAAGGGATGTAGAACATGCTAAAAGATATTAATCTACAAATGAAAATGATTTTAATTGGATTCTGCTTTTGGGGTCGGGTCACTGCTCCATTTTCAATCAGAGTTGTCCAGTCAGCAAAGCAGCAGCACAGCCCTTTCATAGGGAAACAGCGAGTGGCTCGCAGAGGTTAATAGGAATGTTGGAAAATAAATAGGTTATTGATTGATAATAACAATAAGCTGACTCCAGTCCTACCTTGGTGACCTTCCCTCACCCAACTTAGAGAAAACTCAGTTAGCATCTAATTATGGATCGTCTCACAATCCCACATATTAATGAGAGTGTGGCTGCGTGGGCCTGGAGCTGCTCCCGGTGGAGGGAAGTGCCCAGACATGGTTGATCCTGGAGAAATCAGGATCTGGGACCCCTTGGAATCACAGAATGGTTTGGAAAGAACCTTAAAGCCCATCCATTGTCACCCCTGCATGGGCAGGGACACCTTCCACCGTCCCAGGTTGCTCCAAGCCCATCCAACCCAGCCTTGGACACTTCCAGGGATGGAGCAGCCACAGCCAGGGCTTCACCACCCTCACAGGGAAGAATTTTTCCCTGATGCTCAACCTGAGCCTGCTTTCTGTCAGCTGAAAGCTTTATCCTGGTGCCCAAGCAAGGCACAGCCCCTGCCTTGTTCCGCAGAGTGGAAGAGGCAGGGAGGCGGCTCAGAGCTCTGTAATTGATACTTTAATTGCTTCAAGATGCGCCAGGATGTCCTGCCTTCAGCTCCAGCCTCGCCCACTATCCCACATGTGCCTCTGGGCTCTGCTTGCTGCAAGATACGGAACAGACAGAGCTGGCTGGGGAAACAGAGGTTTGCAGAGGGTGGGCACGGGTGGAGTTAAGGAGGTTTTTCCTCGCCCAAGGCGAGCAGGCACGCTGAGTGCCCAGGGCACCTGCTCAGCGGCCCCACAGGGGTGATGCCCGCAGTTAAGGAGTTTTCCACTTCAGGTGGACCCAGCTGTGTCCCTGTGAGTGCTGGGGACAGCAAACACATGATGCTTCCTGGGATAAAACCCCGGGATCTGAGAAAAACCTGGATAAGGGTGTGAGCACGGCTGAAAGGGAGGGAGGGGAGAATGGAAGATCAGTGGGGTTTTTAATGCTCTGTTTGTACAAGTGGGAACAGAGACAGCAATGAGGGCAGCGCGGTGCAGCCGGGGCTTGGGCAGAGCTGCGGGCACGGAGCTGCTCCCTGCGCTGGCTCCCTGCTGCTGCCCCGGCTCCCTCGGCAGCTCCGTGGCCAGCTCTGGGCCATTTGGGAAAGGCAATTTGGGCATCCTCCATCCCTCCGGCCCCTCTGTGGCTGAGAGCCCCGCGCTCCCCAAAATCCCCGGATCCATTTCGCAGAAGCGCGCCGCGGTTTGATGTACACGAGCATCACTTCTCCTGCTCGTACGCCTTCCCTGCCACCACGGGCTGGGGCACTCGCCGCGACACGTCAAAATGCTGGGAAAATAAACATGGGAATAGCCGGGAGGGGACGGAGCCGGGACCCCTCCCCACAGGCGGGGGTGTCCAGCCACCCCTCCGGAGGAAGGCAGGCAGGAGCCGTGTCCTGCTCCCCGTGGCCAGGCTGGAACCGCAGAGCCGTGGGATGCTTTGAGAGCGCTTCGAGCTCATTCCTTCCACTTCCCGGCCGTGGGCAGCGATGCTTCCCGCTAGCGCAGCCTGGTCGTTCCCAGCCCCGTCCAGCCTGAATTTGGGCACTTCCAGGGATGCAGCCGGGCTTTGCTGGAACACGAGCTCCACCTGCCGCCGCCCTCCGAGCCCGGCCCGGTCCCGGCAGTGCCCCCTCCGAGCCCCGGCACCGGGGGCTCCGTGCCCCCAGAGCCACCCGCCGGGGTGCCCGGGGGTGCCCGGGGGTGCCCACCCTCCAGCGCCCCTTCTCCCCACCTCCCACCCCGGTCCTGCCGCACCCCCGGGGCCTCAGCAGGATGCCGAGGCGAGAACGGCCCGTCCTGGCCCCCCCAAGGGAGCTGGGGCGCCCCCAGCCCCCCACACTGCACAAAGACAGAAGACAAAGAAGACAGCGAGGTGGTTGCACACTTGCCATGTTCACAGTAGGCATTACAGGCAGTGGGGGCATCCTCGGGGCTGTGGGGGCATCCTCGGGGCTGTGGGGGCATCCTCGGGGCTGTGGGGATTTATGGGGCTCCTGGCAGTGCCCAGCCAGCGCGGCTGTGCCCACAGAGCAGGGGCAGCTTGAGCCGGAGCACCCTGGGCAGGACAGTGCCCCCAGGGCTGCACCTCTGCCCGTGGCACTGCTGGGGTGCCCTGGCCACACATCCACCACCACAGCTGGAAGGGGGTCTGCACATGGTGCCCCTCTCCACACAGCTCTGGGGACGGCAGCAAAGAGGGATGGACAGACAGAGGGATCAACTTCTGCCAGCCACGGGGTCTGGGGAGCAGGGACAGGGAGCCCTGAGGGGCAGGAGCAGAGCAAAGGAGGAGCCTGGTTGTTTGGTGGGGCCTCTCTGCCCTCCTGCCCTGCTCTGAGGGGGGCACTGGTGGCCTGTCCTCACTGTGCAGGCTGTGCAGGGTGGCATTTGCCAGCTCCATCCTCTGCCAACGAGGTGGTCCCACATGTCCCCTGGGTGACCAGCCTGGGGAGGTCCCCCTGGGTACAGGGGGGTTGCTCTGGAGCAGAGGAGGGGTCTGTGGGGCAGGGAGGAGAGTTCCTCAAAGTGGTGGGCTCTGACAACTTGTGATGCTCCTCTCCTGTGCAGGAGCCCTGAACACCCACCCTGGGCCTGATCTGGCTCATCCTCCTGTCCCATTCCTGTCCCATTCCTGTCCCATTCCTGTCCCATTCCTGTCCCTGTGCTCCCCACTCTGCCCACAGCAGAACCCTGTCCCCCCTTCCATCAAACACAGGAGCATCAACCCTAAAATCCATCCTGGTGGCAGTTGTGCAGAGAAGGGCCTTTGAGGGATTAGGGGGATAAGGTGGAGGTTGGACAGACACAGAGCTGGGTGGGGAGGAGACCCCCAAGAGCCTGAGAGACCCCCCAGTAAAGGAGCAGGCTGGGTTAGAGCCTGGCAGGGATGCCCAGGGGAGGTGGCAGTGTCATGGGGCCACCCAGGGGACCCCGTCCGGCTCTGCCTTCCAGTGCAGGCAGGAGAGCTGCCGTGGGTGACAGTGACATCAGTGGCAGCAGGTGCTCTGGGGAAGCCCTGGCCATGGCAGCAGAGAGCACAAAGCAAAGCCAAGGGAGCAGAACCCTGTTCTGTTCTGGTTCTGCCCCCCTGACAGAGCTGCCGTGGCCTGTGGCTGAGGGGTGCCTTGTCCCCCAACAGCCACAGCCTGGGATGTCCTCACGGGCCAGCAGCACAGAGCCACCATCCTCTGCTGGCACGCAGGGCTCAGCCCTGTCCCCTGCTCTGAACCCCATCAGTGCCTTGCCACGTGCCAAACCCACGGCAGCGAGCCAGAGCCTGGATCCTTCACCCTGGCAGGGTCCCTGCGGAGGCTGGGGATGTCCCTCTGGCTGACAGACAGAAAGAAAGGCCAGGCCGTGCCCCCATCACCTGATGGCAGAGCCCCACTGCCATCTGTGACCCCCAGTGCCCAGCCCTGTCCCTGCCTGGGGCCAGGGCACCCTGCAGTGGGACCCGGCGGTGACACGGAGCTCAGTTAGTCAGGGCCACGCTGCCAGCAGCAGCTTCCACATGCACCAGGCACAAGATAAACTGTGGAGAGACAGAGGGGTGAAGAGAGGAGCCCAGGAGCACCAATGCTGGGAGCAGCACGGGAACATTGCCCATGACAGGTGACCTGAGGCCTCAGGAGAGCCCTGAGCTCAGGCTCATGGCAGCCTTTGCTCTGTGGATGAATCTCTTTGCAAACGGGGTTTGCTGGGCCTCTACAGCCATTATTAATGGGTTTGTACTGTTCTGTTGCCACTCAGCCTCTTTTCCTCATTGTGCCACGTCAAATTTGTTGGAAAACAGATTTGAATTTTTCCAGGAGGGAAATATTCATAGTGCCCCAGCCTGAGCATCTTCTTTCCCATGGTACCAAATGGGAGCCAGGGATGCTCAGCAGCACAAAAAAATCGAGTGCTGCAGGTGGGTAAGTCCAGGAGGAGCCACTGTCACTTGTCATGGCAAACAGCACCCGAGAGGCAAAGTGCAAAGAGAGTTGTTAGTAGCAAGAGATAAACAGTCAGGGAGGATTAGTACAGTAGAAACAGAAGTACAGGTTAGTAACAGAAGCAGGGCACTGGTCTGCCTTAGAGGACACACACACTGGAAGAGAAATGAAGAGAAAAGCAGCAACGGTTAGTTTGTTTAATTCAGTTCAGGAATGTGTTAGTAACAGAGATCTACCGGCTTAAAAAGGAACTGAAAAGCTTCTGCTGATAAAACCGTTTTATGCTCCTAGTCAGCAACAGGCTCCACAGGCAGAGCTGGGCAGGGCGTGTGGGGAGAAACCCTCTGCTTGTGCTGCCGAGGGCTGCCTGGGGCGGGGGCTGCTGCTCCCCTCTCCTGCCCAGGGACCAGCACTCCCCTCTCCTGCCCAGGGACCAGCACTCCCCTCTCCTGCCCAGGGATCAGCACTCCCCTCTCCTGCTCAGATCAGGGGCTGCTGCTCCCCTCTCCTGCTCAGGGACCAGCAGTCCCCTCTCCTGCCCAGGGACCAGCACTCCCCTCTCCTGCCCAGGGCAGGGGCTCTCTGCACGAGCAGGAGCAGCCCAGCACCACTCCTGCCCAGTGCTGGGCAGCCAAATCCACTCTCCTGCCCTCAGCCAGGGCTGCCCCTGCCTGTCCCTGCCTGTGCAGCCTGGCACTGCCACCTGGCACTTCCAAAGCCCTTTTCCAGCTTTTCTGTTCCCCTTTAAAGGCAGCGCTGCTGCCGTGGTTAGTGGGCACGAGGCAGGGCTGCTGTGGGTTAGTAGGGCATGCGCTGGGCTGGTTAGTGGGTTAGTCCGTGTGCCAGGGGCCGTGGTGGCCCCGGGGAGGGCACAGGGGTCCCAGCAGGTTAGTAGGTTAATACTGGCAGCATGCAGAGCCAGGCCCGTCAGCAGCAGGGCTCTGGCTCACAAGAGCAGGAGGCATTTTTGGGCTGTGACATTTGGGAAGGTGTTAGCGGAGGGTTCAGCCAGTTCAGCTGTCCCGGGATGAAATGTTCAGCAGGCATCTGCTCCTCTGATTCCTGCCAGGGAGGTACCAGAGGCACCTCACAACAGGTACTGACCACCCCTGGGCTGGGAAAGGTGAGATGAGACAGAGGCATGGAGGACACAGGCCCAGCAGTGCCGAAAGGACTCTAAAGGAGCTGGGAGAAGCAGAGGAGGAGGGGGTGAGAGAATCACTGGCAGTGTTTGGGGTCAGGCTCCAGCACAGGCCAGGACAGCTGCTCCAGGACTGCAGCAAGCTCCCACTGCACGTGCAGGGAGCAGGAGACCCAGAGGAAAGGTGACCCACAGCTTACCCCCTCCCCATCAGAAGCTGCCTCCCCATGGGGCTGAGCAGTGCTCCAAGGGTTGCAGGAGCACTGTGACCCAAAAAACAGGGCTGGGATGGGGCACCCAGGAAAGCCTCTGCCCTGTGTCCCTCTGGGTCACCTCCTCCCACAGCATGAGCCTCTCTGGTCCCCAGGAGGACGCTTTTCTAGTTTGGACTTCAAGGCTGTAGCCCCTGCCAGGAGCTGTGTCTGCCCCCAGCCCCCCGCCCCCCTGTCCTGCCTGTGTGGGGACACGGGCCCGGCTGGCTGCTTGGCCAGGACGTGTCCCACCTGCTTCCAGGGCACTGCAGAGGCCATGGCAGGAGGATTCGCTGCCCATGCTCCTCTCCAAGTTCCAGGATGCTCCACACACCACCAGGGGTTTCAGAAAGCTCCAGGACTTCACCAACAGCCAGAGGGAAGGGCAGGATCAGTGGGGACAAGCAGAGCCCCTTTGGGCTCTGGCCATGGTGTCACCATGAGGAGCTGGCACAGCTCTGTCCCCACTCCCTTTTCCTTCTCCCTCCTCTGTGCCCAGGGAAGGAGACAGGTCTGGGGGAGCAGTGGGAGGCAAGGACAGCCCAGCACCTTGCAGAAAACAGCGTGCATGCACAGCCCTGTGTCCTCAGGTGTCCCCACTGCAGTCTCCCGGGCTGTGTCCCCCGCAGTGGCCGGGCTGGTGGCTCCACGCCATGGCACTGGGCACCAGGGTGCTCTGCTGGGGCCAGCCCGGCTCTGGCATCATGTGCTGGTTGTGATGGCAGCTCCTGGACACGGTCAGTCTGGCCAGGCAGGAGCTGGGCCGTGCTCCTGGGGTGGTGGCACTGAGGAGCAGAGATGCTGTGAGACCCTGGGCTGTGGCAGCCACCCCCTCCCCACAGCTGGGCACACGTGGGGGACACATCCTCTCATGCAGGTGGCCCTGGGGATGGTGTGAACCCCTACACCCCACTGGGGCCTGGGGAGAGCCCTCCAAGAGATGAAGCCCTGAGGAGGAAGGATGATCCCGGCTGCCCAGCACCCTCCCTGCTCACGAGGGGTGGAAGAGCACGGGGCTGGCACTACCTGTGTCCCCTCCCCAGGGTCCTACCTGTGCTCAGCAGCTGCAGGAGTGCTGTGCAATGTCCCCTGCTCCACGAGGCTCTGCGAGGGGACTGTGTGAACAGACCTCAGGTCAGTCATTAGCAGCTGCAAGAGAAACAACCAACGCAGCAAGGGGGAGAAACAGGGCCCCGTCCTCAGGCACAGCCCAGCCGAGCTGGCAGGAGCCTGGCAGGAGGTTTGGGCACAGACCTTCCTGTCCCTGTCCCCTTGCAGGGTGAAGGAGCTGAACCAGGCACAGCGGGGTATGGGAACCACCACACCAGAAATGGTGGCAATGCCCCAGACTGTCCCTGCTCGTTGCTGTAACCCCTGCAGTGGAGGCAGGGACTGATTGGCACTGCCAGTGTCCCTTCTGCTGCCACCTCTGCCCCTGTCCCTGCCGGGGGGTAAAGCTGCATCACTGGGACCCTGCGGTTGCAGTGGTTAAACTGGGTCACAGCCACGTTGTGGTGGGTGCTGCTCCATCTCCTCGGGGATTTGGGGACACGTGGCCGGTGCCAGCAGCCAGCCCATGTCTGTGACCTGCCCTGCCTGCCTGGGCAAACAGGGACAGCAGCAGGTCCCGGGGGAACGGGGCCGTGATGACTCTGCAGTTCAACCACTGAGCCACTCCTGCTTCCCATGGCTCGGCTGGTCACCACACTCATTGTCACCACATGCTCATTGTCACCACACGCTGCTGGCAGGACAGTCCCCTCCGTGGGGACAGCACCGGGTCTGGGGAGCATTTGCAGCCCAGCAGCAGGAATGAGCATCTGGCAGATGGACCCAAGTGGGAGGTGCCCGTGCTGGGGCAGGGTGGCCTCTCTGGCCTGGCCATGGAGCACATCCCAGGGGACAGGGAGGGAAAAACCATTTTGTGCAGACAGGACTCACCTCAACATTCATCCTGGGTGTGAGCTTGAGCTGCCTCTGCCACACGTGTGGGTGGCACATACAGTGGCCCTTGGGGGGCTGCACACCCGAATTAAATGGGGCTCAACCCCCTCCTCGAGTGAGGAGAGAGGGAGGGAAGGAGCACAAGCTCCACTGCGGGCAGGGGCAGGGAGATGAGGGCACACCAGGCAAGAGATCCTAAAGAATGGTCTCTGGGATGTGGCATCCACACACCCTGAGCCCCCAGATGTCAGCGGGGTGGGCAGACACCCCGGTCCTGTGCCCTGCCAGTGCTGCCCGAGCCTTGCTGCCATCCAGCAGAGCCCAGGCTCTGGCACTGCCCAGGCTCTGGCACTGCCCGGGCTCTGGTGCTGCTGCAGGGGTGCCAGGCACCGCTGCCTTTGTCTGCAGCTCTGGGGCTGGGCAGCCCGGTAGAAGGGGGAGATGTGAGGGTGTGAAAGGCTCCTTGCAAGCCCACAACGCCTGAAAATCGGATTATTTCTGGGCTCCTCCTGGCTCCCAGGGCAGGACTTACCCGCACACACAAAAGGCTGGCTGCGAGACAATGAGGGAGAGAAAATGGCTCCGCAAGAAGAGCATCTGCCAGGTTAATTCGGGGTGGGGGGGAAGGAAGGGCTGGGCTGTGCCCTGGGGCTGCTGGCCCCAGCCTCGCCTCTAACCCCCGCCTAGGATCATCAGCTTTAGCTGTTTTAGTAAAACAGCATTTTGCCTACAAATCTCCCAGGAGCATTGAAAATCAGGCAAGAATCCATTTACCTGGCAGGAGCCCTATTCTTGATGAGGATTCTGAAAAAAAAAAAAAAAAAGAAAAAAAAAAATACAGACAAGCGGTGCAGCAGTTAGTCCTGATTTGGGCCGCGGGCTGCAGGCGGTGTTCGGGCAGGGGGGGCCAGGCTGCCCAGCGCTGTCTCAGCACCGGGATCACCGGGATCGCCCGCCGGGCCGGGATGTGGCCGGGAACACGGCGCGGGATGCGCGGCTGCTCCTGCCCTAACAAAGGGAGGGGGCCTGGCACCCCCGAGGAACGAGGGAGTCCTGACTGGGGGGGGGGCTCTCGTGGGGTTATTTATAACCAGAGGATAATATATCGAGAAGGGGGCTATTTTTGGGGCATGGAGAGGAGGGAGCAGCCGCGCCCGCCGGCTCCGCACCTCTCGGAGCGATGCCCGCAGGACACCCCGAATCCCGGGGCGACATCACCCCCGCTCCCGGCCGGAGGTGGGGGCGGCCCCCGGGCTCCCCCAGACCCCACCGGCGCCCCTTCCCCGTCCGCAGGGAGCGGAGCCACGTCCGCGGTGCGTTACCTGCTCCGGGGGGCCGGGCTGGGGCCGGGGGGCGCCGGTTCCGCTGGCTCCTGCCCGCCGCGCCGCTCCTTTGTGCCGGAGCTTTCCCAGAGCATCCCTGAGGAAGAGGCGGCCAAGCAAACTCCTCCTCCTCCTCCAGCAGCCCCCGGCCCCCCCGGCCCTACCTACGGCGCAGGAGGATGCTGCAACTCGCATTAAATTTTAATGCTGGAAACGCGGCCGAGTCGCCTTTTCCCCGCACCGCTCCCGCTGCGGGAGACGCTGGGGACCCTTTCGGCCACGACAGCCGCTGCAAATGTCACTGTCACCCCCTGCCAGGACATCGTCCGCCGTGAAGTCACGGGCTCCCCACAGCCATGGGTGTGACCCCGGGGACACGGGACAAGGGGGGCAGGGGTGTCGGGCACAGCCCTGGGGACGTGGTGGGCAGGATGAGCCCGGGCTCGGTGGGGACGGATGGCACAGAGCCTGGGGACACAGGGACAGCTCCCTCCCGCCGGGGGTTGTGACAGTCCCTCCGCAGCGCTGTGCAGCTGCTGGGCTCCCGCATTGTTCTCCAAAATCCCCGCCGGGTCCCCGGGGACCTCTGGCCTCGCCGCCAGCTGCCCACCGTGCCTGGCCATGTGCTGGCGCCGCTCCCGGGCCCCGCGTCCCCCCAGGGCTCTGGAGCTGCGCAGGGACACGGGGGACAGGACGGGGGTGACAGGAAGCTCCGCTCCTCCCTGGCTGCCGGCCCCCGGGCGGGTTTGCCCTGGGGCGCAGGAGGGTTTCATTCAGCCCATCCCATAACTTTTTGTTTCTTCTTCTATTTAGACTTTTTAATTGTGATTTCCTGCGGAGAGAATCCCTCGCTGGGCAGCATTCCCTCCGCTGGTGGCCTTGCTGCTGCAAATGTCATGGATGGGACATTTTCACCACATCAAACATTTTCTCCAGAGCTCTTCTGAAATGAGGAATTTTTCCAGGCCAGCCTTTCCCTGCTGCATTTCCAGCTTTGTCTGCACACTGGGTGTGCGGGAGCGAGGGATGGGTGCAGGGGTGTGTACAGATGGGTGAGAGTGCTGGGATGGGTACAGGGTGTGCATGGATGTGGGGATAGCTGCACATTTGCTTGATCCCGCAGCTCCTTTCAGTCCCCGGCAGGTGCTGGAAGAGCACCTGGTGTCTGTGGGGCGGTGGGATGTGGGAGTCCTGCAGACCCCCGGCTTTTCCAGCCGGGCAGAAAAATTCCCCTCCCCGGGAGCGGCATCACTCCTTCCCACGCATCCCCGTGGCGCTCATCCCCAACTGCCAGCGCCGCCTTGGAAAACCGAGCCTTTATTGAGCTTTGTCGCCGCCGCCCCGCGGGACAGACGGGCCGGGCGCGGGGGCTCCGGCCCCGCCGTCACTGCTGGACCCTGCGGATGGACTGGACCTGGCCCGTCTGCGCGTGGGACCCCCACTCGCGGACGTGCTTGTACTCGCCCGCGGGGCTGTCGCTCTCCAGGAGGTACTGGAAGCCCCGGTACCCCGGGTACTGCGAGCACACCCACCTGCGGCAGAGCGGAGAGCGGCGCTGGCTCGGGGCTGGGCGCTGCGGGCGCATCCCGGCAGCTGCCGGAGCATCCTCCGGCCCCGCTGGAGCCCCGGCGGCCCCGGCGGGCTGCGAGCCCCGGTACTCACGCGCCGGAGCGGACGAGGAAGGAGCCCACGGTGCTGCTGCCCCAGCCCAGGGCGGGCAGCGAGGGGCAGTCGTCGCTCATCTCTGCCCGCTTGCCCTGGAAGTTTTCCTCCTCAAAGAGCATCAACCTGCTCCGTCCGTGATCCTGCGGCCGAGACGGGCACGGCTTTGGCGCTGCCGCCCCGTGCGCGGCCAGAGGGCTCCGGGGGTCGCCCCGCGGGGGTCTCCGGGGCGGGGGCACTCACGGCGCAGGCGATGGGGCGGAAGGAGCACATCCTCTCCACGTGGTAGGCGCTGCTGCCGCTCCACGCCTCCCAGCACGGGTACTCGCCGCGCTCCAGCACGAACTGCTGCCCCTGGAAGCCGCAGTGCTCGAAGCCTGCCCACCTGCCGGGGCGGGAGGGGTGAGACCCCCGGGGTGCCCACCGCCCCGCTCGCCGCCGGGCTGTGCCCGCCGCAGCCAGCCGCGCCCGCGGGAGGCGGCTCGGGGAGCAAAAGGCACTGGAGGCCTCCATCCTCCAACCCCCCTGCTAGCCGTGGGGTCCCGCAGCAGCGTGGGGTGGCAGTGCCCCGGGACCCCCACTCACGCCCCGCTCTCGATCTTGCAGGAGCGGACGGTGCTGAAGCCGTGCTCCGCGGTGCTGTAGCAGTCGGTGGTGAACTCGTGCTTCTTGCCCTGGAAGAAAGGCTCATCCCACACCACGATCTGGGGGAATAGAGGGAGTCAGGGGGCTCTGGGGGTGCCAAGGCCCCGAGCAGATACTGCAGGCCCATTCCCAGGTGTTCACAGGGCACGGTGCTGGTCCTGCCCAGGTGCCCATACCTTCCAGAGACCGGAGGATTTCTTGCAGCGGTGGGTCATGGTGGCTCTGTCGGAGCACAGGGGAAGGGGACAGTTAAAGCTGCCTCCCTGCCCAGATGAAAATGACCTCAGGAGCCCTTGTTGTGCTTCATGAGCAGTGTGGGTGACAACAAGTTGCTCCACGTTGGAGAAGATGAAGAGCTCTGTGGCTCTCCCTGCCCAGCCAGAGCTGCCACCAGGGCCATGTGGAGCAGTGGGCACCTGGCCCAGTGGGCACCTGGCCCTGGCAGGCATCCCTGCCCGTGCCCAGGGAAACTCCTCCTCCCACTGGCAGCTCCCTGAGCCAAAGCCCCGGTGCTGGCAGTCGGTGCAGGCAGGGCAGAGCTGAGCTGGGAGCACTGCAGAGGCGGTTGCGTGCCCACACTGAGCATCAACACCTGCCACAGGCAGGGACAGCCCCGACTCCTCGATCCCCAGCACCCCACCACAGCTCCCAGTGCCAAGGAGAGGTCTAGCCCCGGATCTCGGATGCTCCTCCACCTGTTCCCACAGCTGCTCACTCCCAGGCCCCATGCCAGCTGCCCCAGGCTCCAGCTCTTACCTGGGGTGAGGCACTGGTGCCCAGGGAGGTGACATGTCCGGCAGCCTCTGGCTGGGTTTTTATAGCCTCCAGATAGAGACAGAGCCCAGGGGAGCATTACTGAAACCCCTAACTCAGCACATGGCAGGGAGGAGGGACCGGCCGGAACAAAGGCACCGTGTCAGAGACGCTGATGAGCCGGGATGTGGAGCTGGCCCACCGGGCACAGGCTCTGACCCCCAGCCCACAGCTCCAGAGCTGGGGCATCGCCCCCAGGCTCTGCCAGGGCTCCTGCCATGTGCCCTCCCTGGTGTGGGGCTGGGCTGGGGCTGTGTCCCAGCTCTGGCAGTGCTCCCCCAGCCCGCAGGCAGTGCTGCCTGCACTGGGGGCACGGGGAGGTTTCCTCACACCTTTCTGGGAAGTGGGAGGAAGGACACGTCTCCACTTGCTCTCCCTGCAAGGGCAGAGCAGCTTACCCTAAATCCGGGGCGACTTGTTGCAGTTTGGGCACACAACAGCCATGGACACCATAAGAAGTAGGGACCAGGGACATGGAAATCAGTGGGGGGGGTGGGGGTTTGAAAAGGCACAGGAGGGACTGGAGGTGCAGGTCATGACTTGGGAAGAGCTGCAGCAGCCTCCTGCCCCTGTGACTCTGCTGCCACCACATTCTGGAGACCTAAACACCTTCCAGCTTTCTCACAGTGACTCGCACACTGCTGCCACCACATTTTGGGGACCTAAACACCTTCCAGCTTTGCTCACAGTGACCCACACACCTCACAAATCATCCCAGGGTGGTGCTAGGGCTCCAAAGGCTGGGCAGAAGCATTCACCCAGCCTCCCCCTCAGAGTGGGCAGCAGGCCCGCAGGGAGTGGTGTGTTTTGGGACAGAATTTGCTAGAAACCTGCCAGGAGGTTGAGCCACAGTTCCCCTCATGCAGCTGCAGCAGCCCTGTGAGCCCCAGGCACCCTGGGGGAGGCAGAGCAGGGCAGCTGGGGAGGCTCAGCACAGCCGGCTGCCCCAGGGCATGGCAGGGTGGCACGGGCTGTCCCTGCCACCTGCAAGCCCAGCAAAAGCCCTCTTGGCACTAGCACAGTTTCTCCCTGGCCTCTCGCTGTGGCCTGAGCTAAACTCAGCTTACAATGGCCACCAGCACAGTGACCACCGCCCGCTCGCTGCTCATGCTGTGTCCTGGCAGCGTGACACGGTCACTCAGTGCCAGGCAGGGATGCAGCAGCAGGAGATCCCTGGGCAGTGGGACCCACCAGGGCAGAACAGACCCTCGTGCCTGTGCCCTCCATGGCCACGCTGTGCCAGCTCTGGCCTTCTGCTGCCTTCTTTGGTGGAATTGTGTCCATAGGCTCACCCATGCCAGGGAGGGATGGTGCAGTGAGGGCACAGGGTCCACGGTAGGGCAGAGGTTTTGTGTCTGGAGGGCTCAGGAATTGACCAAGGATCAATCCCTGCTGTCAGCCCTGCCACAGCACTGGCTCAGGGAAGCCCAGGGGATGCTGAGTGCTCAGCAGGGAGCAAAGCAGCCATCAGGAGCAGAGCTCAGCCCCTCCGAGCTGGCTTTCCAATGCCCAGGTTAAAAGGTGCTGGGGATTGGGAGGGGAAGCAGACTCAAAAGCAGGGGGTGGGTAAAACCTGCCAATTAATGCCCAGGAGGCACAGGGGAGGCAGCACAGGGAGAACACCCATGCTGGCTCTGGGAGGAAGGGAGGGCAGGTTAAATTAGAAATCTGGATAAAAACCATGGGAACGAGCACAAATTGAAATCGTGAATCATGAAACACTGCTCAGTATGAAGGTGAGAACCAGATTGGGCCAGCAGACCCCACACCCAGCCACGTCACGGGCACAGCACACCTCCTGCAAAACCTCGGGAAAAGAAGGGATCAATACATCCTTTTTGTTGGGGATTTTGCGCAATTGCCCAGAGGGTGCAGCTGGATCCCACCACTGCTGGGTGACACATGAGAGGAACAAAGAGGAGGGCAGCACACGGTGCTCTGAGCCCTGTGCCCACACAGCCCCGGGTGAGGCCCTGCTGGTGCTGGATGCTGCGGGAAGCTGTGGGGGCTGGGCAGGGCTGTGGAGATGCAGAAGTGTTGATCAGGGGCTCAGAGGGGCTCAGAGGGACTCAGGGGAAGGTCCCCCCGGGGTGTCATGGGGTGGGGGAGATGTGGCACCAGAGGCTGAGGTGCTGCAGGGACTGGTGGCAGTGCAGCCCCAAGGAGCCACCCCACAACCCTCCTGCAGAGCTGATGGCCCAAAACCACGAGTGTGGTGGTGGCAGAACCAGGGGTGGCACAGGGTGACCACAGCAGGGGGAAAATGGGCTAAAAAGCAAAGGAAGAACCCTGCCAGTGAGCAGGGACATTCCCAAGGGAGAACAAACACTGTGTTCAGGCACTCAGGTGGTTCAGAAAGTGTCAGCTTCGATTACACATTGTTTGGGAAAAAAAAACCTAACTCCTGAAGCATTTCAGAACATTTCAGGTCTCGCTTTCTGGCATCTCCAGGGCAGCACAGCCGGTGCTTGCGGGCACGGAGTGCTGCTCAAAGGGAGAGGTGAGTGTTTGGAGGGGCGAAACAGGCACGGCGCGGCTGCTAGCCGGGCACAGCGGGGCTGCCGCACCCTCCGCGGTGGCAGCGGCACGGGAGCGGGTGTCACCGTGGGCCCGGGGCCTGGGCACGGGGCAGGGGAGGTGTTCCTGTGCCGGTGCCGGCTCCGGCAGGGCCGTGCCAGGGCTATATATGCCCTGCCGGGGCGGCCGCACGAGGGGCAGTGGGTGCCGGGCGCGCTGCAAAGTGGCACGGTCAGGTCTTCTGTTGTGCCGCGGGCACAAAGGAAAGTGCTGGGTTCAGCGGCTGGGCACGGGGCCGGGGAGAGGCTTCCAGCTCGCCCAGCGCTTTGCAGGATGTGATGACTGGGCGGCCGCGCAGACACTGATGAGCTGGCAGTTCCTTTGTGCGCCCGCCCGGGGGTCTGCCCTTGCCAGGCTATAAAGTGGGGGCCTCGCGGCGCCCCGAAACACAAGCCCGCTCACTCCAACAAGAAGCAGCAGCTGCCCAGGTAAGAGGACAAAGTCCCCGGACACCGGGCTGCAGCCGGACCCGAGGTGGGGAGAGGGAAACTCAGGGTCTAAGCCGTGGCTACCGCTGTGGTGGTCACCTCTGGGAGCACCTCTGTGCTCAGCATCCCACCTCCCTCCGCTCCCCGGGGAGCTGCTGCTGACACTCACCTGCGGGGCCACGGCATGCTGCCAGCTGCAGGGCCTCAGCAGGCCAGGGCTGTCCCCTTCCCACCCCTCACACGCTGACCTGGAGCCCCCCGAGCTCCCAGGTGTACCCTGTGCACGATGGCCCCAGTGCCTGGCACAGCATCAGGCCCCATCTGTGGGCATTCCTACGGTGCTGGCACCAAGCTCAGGGCTCTCCTGACCACAGAAGGAGAGTGTGGACTCCAGGACCTCCTGTGATCCCTCTGGTGAAGACAGGACCCCTGCCTGTGCCTGCTGGAGAACCTTCCAGCAGCTCCTCTCCTGGCCCTGTCCATGACCCCATTGAGAGTCCCCATCCAGATGTTACGTTCTTGGGGTGGGTTGTGGGTGCCCACATCTGTTCCTCCCTCTAACCTGCTGCTGGTGCCCTGTCACAGACTTGAGCCCACCACCGCGATGTCTGAGACCACAAAACTCGCTGCTCCCGGCCAGGCTGTGGATGACAAGGAGAAGGCAGCTCCTGCTCCAACTCCATCCCTCGACCCTGCTCCTGTCGCAAACAGCAAGGGCGAGGAGCCCTCCCCAGAAGCCTTCAGGGTAAGCCCTGTGGCTCCCCGTGTGCAGGGACACGCTCCGGGCTGAGGGACGGGGCAGCATCTCTGGGGCAGGAAGAGATTGTTCCAGGGGGAAGGACTGTGGAAGTGTGGGAGATGCCATCCCTGCTCTGTCCCTCTGACAGCAGGCACGGGATTTGGGCAGCTGCTGCAGGAGGAGCAGTCTGAAGGTGCCTCAGCCAGGACAGCTTGTTGGGGACCACAGGCTTTGGAAGTGCTCTCTCCTGGGTTGTGGTGTCAGGGCTGGCTGCTGTCACCTGCTCCCTCTGGTCACTCCCTGCATGCAGGGGTCCCGTGGAGAGGTGGAGGGGACACTAGGGGTGACAGGCCAGCACTGAAATGCCACAGTGATGCCAGCATGCCACTGAGGCACTGCAGAAGGGCTGGCATGGAGGGGGGCGAGTGATGCGAGGGCTCTGGTGACACCGTGCCAAGCTGAGAAGGGCACAGTGCAGACAGAGCACCTGGAGAAGCAGCTCCTTCCCACCAGCAGCAGTAATACCAGGTGCAGGATGAGGCCATTTTGGAGCAGGAACAGCTGTTGGAGGAAACCTTTCCGTGCTCAGCCTGCGCTGGGCATGCCCATGCACAGAGCCCAGCTGAGCACGGGCGGGCACCAGAGCTGAGAAGCTGCAGGAAGGCTCGGAGAGCCGAGGGGGACACGTGGAGCAGTGGGCTCAGGCATGTTGGGTCACACAGCACCAGCCTGCCCTCCCTGAGCATGCTTGTCCTCATCCAACCCTTTCCTTGCACCCCCAGATTGTTGTCTTCGACCAGGAGAACTTCCAGGGCAGGCAGATGGAGTTCACTGCCGAGTGCCTGAACCTGGCTGACCGTGGCTTCGACCGGGTGCGCAGCGTCATTGTCACCTCTGGACCGTAAGTGACCCCGGCCATGGAGGGCGTTGAGACCCTGGGGATGCTCCTGCTGGGTGGGGACACGGCCCTGGGGGCACCCTGGGCACAATGTGATGTTCAGGGGCATTTCCCTGCTGCCTGGGCAGAGCGCAGCAGGGCCAGTGCTGCGGGCATCCCGGATCTCCTTCGAGGAGGACAGGAGAGCCAGGATGGCTGGGAAGGATGCCAGGGCCACATGCAAAGCAAAGGGCACCAGAGGCGAAGCCAAGGGCTGAGGAAACATGTCCATCATTTCAGCCACCTGGAGCTGTCCATGGACTACAAGAGAGCTGCAGATTTTAGAGAAGTCAAGGTGAAATTCTTGGATCAGGCTGGCACAGGCAGGGACGGGCAGGGACAAGCACATGTCTGCACCCAGGCAGCTGAGCAGCAGCAAGGGGGCTGGGCAGGCCTCAAAGCCATGGGAACAGTTGACACAGGCAGGGACAAAAACGATCCCCAGAGCAGATAACTGAGCAGACAGATGATCTTGATGTTGAAAGAGCATCCCACAGTGCTGTGCTTGGCTGGAAACGGCGTCCCCAGGAATGCAGGGGGGCTGGTAGTGCTGTGGGGAGGATGCACAGGACATGGCTGGTCCTGACAGCATCCCTTGAGGGATCAGGAGTGACCTGGAATGACATCATGCAGCACAGATTACTTTTTTGTTAGGAATCCAGAATATCCAACTCTTCTTTAAACAAATGGGGGATGGAGCAGCCTGGAAGGAGCTCAGATATGATACCTGGGAAACTGCACAAGACATAGAAGGGGTGAAACTGTAAGGACAGAGAACTTGGGTGTTGTTTGGGACCTTAGAAGCTTATTGAGAGTCACTGAGGAGACTCTGCACCCAAAAATGTGTTTAGGAAAAGATGAAAGCAAAACAACCAAGCTGAGCTTTAGCCGCCAGCTTGAGGCTGCGCAGCCTGGGGTGCCTGAACACATCTCCTGCCAGCAGGAAAAACCCTGCTGGCATTTGCAGGAAGAGCTGCTCTGCAGAGAAAGGGGAAGCAGCAAATGCAGGATTGTTGTGGTGCCAGGGGCTTCTGGAACCCCACACCCATGACATTCCCAGCACCGCAGCACCTCGTGGCTCTGCTGAAGAGGTGACATTGCAGCTGAGTGAGCCCCACTGCCAGCAGTGGGACGGGTGCCAGCGCTGGCTGGCGCTGGAGCAGTGAGGTGTGGGTTACACAGCCCAGGCAGGGGGGACAGCCAGTGCTGAGCTGACCCTGTGGGGTCACCAGCTGTGCAGGGGTCCTGCTGCTCCCCAGCTGAGCAACAGGAGCACTGTGAGTGCTGGTGTGTGCTGCAGGATTGGACACACACACCAGTGAGCTTCCAGCCGGGAGCCCACGGATCAGCGCTGGCTCTGCACAGGCCACAGTGCCTAGGCTGGGAGAAATTTGGAGCAGGGTGGTGGGGCCACAGCCTTTTTGGAGACCCCTCCACTGTCCTGCAAGCTGGCTGAGCAGGAGGGGAACTGCTGGGTGGCACCTGACCCGCTCTTTGCCCACCTCTCTCCCCAGCTGGGTGGCCTACGAGCAGGCCAACATGCGTGGGGAGATGTTCATCCTGGAGAAGGGCGAGTACCCTCGCTGGGACACCTGGTCCAGCAGCTACCGGAGCGACTGCTTCATGTCCATGCGTCCCATCAAAATGGTGAGTGCCTGGGAGCAGAGAGCTCCGCTGGGGTCTGCCCAGCACTGGGCTGTGCTGCTTGATGCCTTGCTGCAGCAAAGCTCCAGGGCTTCGGCCACACTGCCCAGCACCCTCCCTCTGTCTTCCCCAGGAGGCTGAGGATCACAAAATCTCCCTCTATGAGTCTGCTGACTTCAAGGGCAACAAGATGGAAATCCAGGAGGACGACGTGCCCAGCCTCTGGGCTTATGGCTTCTGCGATCGCGTGGGCAGCGTGCAGGTGCCCAGTGGAACGTAAGCTGGGCTGCAGTGGCATCTGCCTCGTGCTAAGCTCCCTGTCCTCCCCAGCTGCCTGCCATGGGCTCTCAGGCAGCCAGAAAATGCTGTGTGGCTGGTTTTGGTGGCATGGGTGGTTTTGGTGGCATGGGTCGTTTTGGTGGCATGGCTGTTTCTGGTGGCATGGCAGTTTTGGGTGGCGTGGCTGTTTCTAGTGGTGTGACCTGTCCCTCAGAGGTTGGTGACCAGCACGGGGAGGCTCTGCGGGCCCTCCAAGCGCCCACCAGCCATGTGGCTGCTGCTTGGAGCAGCCAACCCTGCTCAGGCGCCCTGCGTTTGCTTTTCCCACAGTTGGGTCGGGTACCAGTACCCTGGCTACAGAGGCTACCAGTACCTGTTTGAGACCGGAGACTTCCGACACTGGAATGAGTGGTCTGCCTTCCAGCCCCAGATCCAGTCCATCCGCCGCATCCGGGACATGCAGTGGGACCAGAAGGGCACCTTTGTCACCCCCGACGTGCCCTCCGACTGAGCGTGCTGCCTGCTAGCTACGAGTCCCGGGCCCCGTGGGGCACCCCCGCCTCCCCCCGCGCTCGCCTGCCCAGCACTTTCCTTGTACATTGCACATTCCCTGGATGTACTCTACCTTGTGAGGCAAATTAAAAAAAAACCAGATGATTAGAACTGCTCGGGGGTCGGTGGTGCGTGAACGCGGCTCCGCTTGCCCGGGGTGTGCTAGCCTTGCGCTGGAGCCGGGTGGGACACGGGGGAGGGGGGTTTTACCAGGGAATTGGTCCCTGCTGGGGCTGCGACAAGGAGACCCTCGGTGCGGGGGAAGGGGGTGGCAAAGGCCCTGCAGCCCGACCCCACCAGCCCCCGTGGGGACCCTCTCATTTTGGGGACTCGGGGTGCCCCGGGAGCCGCGGAATCAGGGCGGGCTCCTGGCTCTGCGGGATCGTCTGACTGCGAAGGGTCCCGGTCCCTGCCCGCGGGATCCACTGGGCACTAATTAACAGCCGAAATTGCAGTCAATCAAAGATAATTCACTTTCAAGGAGTTTTTTTTTCCCTCTTCGGGTGCTGTCCCTCCCCACCGGGCACTTCTCTGCGGCCTCATTCCCCTTTTCCCTCCCGGTGGGGCACCTCGGGTGGCATTTCCCCGCGCTCCCACGCCGCTGATTAGCGACGGCGGTGATTAATTACAGCCATAGCAGTGACGGCAGCGCTGCCGGGCGCTGCACAGAGGCAGCACCGGGACCGGGGATAACGGGGAGGCCGCGGGCAGCGCGGCGCGGAGCGCTCCCGGCAACTCGCGGGGACGGCCGGTACCGGCAGGGGCAGGGACACGGGCTCGGGGCTCGGGCTCGGGGCTCGGGGCTCGGGGCTCGGGGCTCGGGGCTCGGGGCTCGGTGCCGCCGGTGCCGCCCGGTGCCCGGCGCGCGCGGCGCACGCGCGGAGCGGCGGGCGGGGATCCCGGCCCCGCGTGCGCGTGACGTCGCCGCGTCTCGCGCCGCTCCGGGCCGGCGGCGGCCCCGGTGAGTGCGGGGGGACACCGGGGACAGCGACCCGGCCCGGCCCGGGTACCGCCCGTGCCCCCGCCGTTTGTGCCCCCGGCCGCGCCGGCCGGCAGGTGACAGCGGCCGGGCTGCGCGGCGGGCGGTCCCCGGTACCGGCGGGCGGTGCCTGGTACCGGCTCGGGGCTCGGTGGGTGGCGCGGGCGAAGCGAACGGAGCGCGGAGCGGCGGAGGATGCTCGGTGCGCAGTGCGGGGGGTGCGCGGTGCGCGGTGCTGGGGATGCCGGGCGGCGATGCGTGATCGGAACGGTGCTGGGTG